CTACCCAGCAACGGAGCTCAGAAGTGTGGGATCATTTTAAGAAAATGAAAGAGAAACCTGTGTAATATCTGCAGAGCAGAACTTACCTTCCACAGCAGTTATTTTTAGTTAGCATATAGCTAAAATCTAACGATGGTTATGTAATAGCAGCTGCATTCTGGCGCGATAAGCTGTATGTTTTATATTCAATTAACATATGATCCGATGAGTGGACTAATAAAAAAAAATCGGTGATTAATCGACTACAAAAATAATCATTTAAATGTTACTGACTTGTTGTCAAAGTGGAAACTCAAAACTTTTCCTTTAAGATGTTCTCTCAGCAGAGTTTCTGTGCTTCATGCTGATGACACATCTCTACATTCCAATGTTACCACATAGTCATTATCCCTTACAGTCACTCAATAGGTGTGTCTATAATATCTGAATTTCCCTCAGCTCAGTGCAGAAAGACACGCCTCAGGTCATCGGCGAGATGTTTTCTCAGTGTTCCCACAGGCCTAAAACTAAACCAGGAGAGGCAGCATTTGGCCTCAAAGCTCAAAACCTCTGGAACCAATTTCCTAAAAACCTGATTGAGCAGAATTTGTTGGTTTCTTTGAATAAGGACTGAAAACATTCGACTGGTTTCTCACTGCGCTGAGCCAGGTTACTCAGGAATTCCCAGATGTGTGGAAATGTCGATGAAGGGTTCTCCGTCTATTTGTGCAACTTGTTAAAAAAAATTGCGAAACAATTTTTCTCAAAATAGTCAGAGTTGTTTCAGGTGTTTCAAAACCTTTTTCATTTTACTTTCTGTAATTCCAGAGCACCACAACTGTAATATTTGGAATAGAGTTGTAAATTGACACTTGTTTATTGTTTTTTTTTTATTTTGCTAGAGTATTAAATGTGTACGTATTTGCAACATGATGCTTTATGAATTGTTTGCATTTGAAGTCACATGTGCAATGATGTGTTTGTGAAAGAAATCTCCTGTATCTTACATTCACTTCATGGGAGGTTTCATCCCTGAGCTCTCATTGCTGTTACTGTTACTGTGGGATGCCTCAGTCAAACTCCCAACCTGCCACTGTCCCCAGAACAGGTCACATGTTTTTATCTTCTCCTACTCCAGCAGTTGGGGCATTAACACATGCCACGGACTCTCTTTGTAGTTATAATGGAGCTGATGCTGCTTGCAAAGAAAGCAAAACATATCCTGCTTGCAATCATATTAACCCATTTGTGCCCAGTTTTTTTTTTTTTCAGAGTTGTAAGGCATTATCATTTTATCTATTATTATCTATTATCATATTATTTTCACCATTTTGTACTTTGTTTTAAAAAAAATAGTATTTTTATGACCAGCAACAATTGTTGCCATTGGTCACACAGCTTGTCAATAGGTCCAATGTTAGGTCCAAAATAATAATGCGGTCAGAATAAATAATAACAAAAAGGTGGAGCCTCAGGTTCCTCCTGTGTAAAACTCCAAACAACAAACAATTTGAACTGTTTTTTTATTCTCAGTTTTTTATACTCAAAAACGTATTTTTTTATTAGAACCTCTAATAACACATATGTATATATTTCATCCCATAAATTGCATCTTTCATGCATGTTCTACTCAGTGTTCTTGAAGCACTCCACATGTAGTGGCACATCACACTTTTCACATGCAAATGATGTGTGTCTGCCACAGTTTCCTGAGTCCTGCAGAGTCCTGCAGCATGGCCAGGACCTCTGCTACAGGACCTGCCTGAGGAAAAAACCACATACATGATTGATTTTTTTTTATTTGGACCTATTATTCTATGAAAAATACTTACATAAATAACATACCAGAGGTGAAAGAGGATTTATTTGTGGACTCCCTGTGTTGTGTTTATTTTCAGGAGGGGGCAGGGCTGACACCTGGACAACAAAAATAAAAACATTTTTAATAGAAGTGTTTAAAAATATATTTGTATTGACAAAAGTTCTGGATATAGTGTTTATGTTTTGTGTTTATTTTCAGGAGGGGGCGGGGCTAGTACTGTGTACTTTAACACCGGGAATAAGACTGGAATGATTTGAAGAGTGATGTTAAAAATGCAGGATCGTTGTACATTTAAGAAAATGATAAAGGTTCGAATGTTAAAAAAATATGAAACAGTATAAAATACACCTATATTAACTGTTATTCTAGAGGGATTAGATGTTCTTGTCTTTTGTTTTGTTAATGATATAGATTTTTTTGTTGTATGAACATATTCTTGGGAGAAAAGGAGCAGATACAAGATTTTTTTCTTCTCTCTGCTGCCTTTCATTTCATGTGATTTTGATACACATACAGCAGGTAAAATAAGTATTGAACACGTCACCATTTTTCTCAGTAAATATATTACTAGAGGTGCTAATGACATGAAATTTTCACCAGATGTTGGTAACAAC